CCTCTGTTTTCTTCCGACGAAGAATAAAAAATATCGAACGTTTTATCGAACACATTTTTTATTGATATCGATCACGTGTCTATCGCGATACATATCGTAATCGTTTTATCGCCCAGCCCTATGTCAGAGTAACACTTTATATTACCTACTATACAGACTACTGTCTGAATGCTTAGCAAGCATGTTAGCTTAGCATTGGCATGGTGGAATAAAATCAAGCAAAATCACTATTTCCTGTCAGAATTCCGTTATCTAATTGTGCTTTTTCTCTAGTTTTCACACATGCCATCTTACTCTCCTGTCAGGCTGCCTCAGCTTCTCTGATTTTTCCATTACCTCGATGTTCTTAGCCAAGGTATACATGCTTACTTCGGCATGAAGGCTGGCAGTCTGCCTCAGGTTTGACTGTAGTGGGAATTATTTGGATTAACAGTTGTCCACTGGTGCTGCCACTTGTAAAGTATGAAAGTTACCGGTTCAAGTCCTAAGAGTGCTTATGCTCCACTATCCTGAAGTATTATTACAATAAAATTCCTAGTGGTATAAATAATTCTTGACTGATCTGTATAAAATAACATTATTTTCAGTGATAGAAAGCGATGCAGATCATGGTAACAGTAGCAATTGATTGCCCATTGCCCAGCTTTGTTCATAGGACCTTTGCAGTGGAGGTGAATTTAGTCGATTTTCGCTCTAAAGCAGACTTTACGCTGCCAACACAACAAATAATGATGCAGAGTCTTCCCAGGTTTCACAGTCTTGCAGACGTCAAGCCTTTAATTTTCTCCACTAATGACGAGCCCATGGATCTTGGCTGTAGAATCAGTGCTATGAGCCAAACTGTCTGATTGACTTTGGCACAGACGAGTTGGAAGGAAAGTGTTAAATGCTGGGCTGCCTTGCTAGACTGTTCCCATCCCAAGCACACACTCTCTCTGTATTTCTACGTTTAACTAACGGATAAAATGTGCTCTGTGATCCATCTGATGTGGAGAGGAGAAAATCTATCATTTTACATGCTTGTGATGCCTTCAAAACCAAAACTCATGTTGGTGAAGAAAAAAATATTCCAAAATTATTGCTCTAATTGTGTGTAGAGAACAGATGCATTTATCATTTCTGCCTCTGGCCGAAAAGGATTCGGAGCACAATGGGCAATCATCTTGCATTCATCTTTTCAGCTTAGGTTTGTTCAATTAATTAGTGATATGACAAACAGTGCTGACTGTTTTTTTAGGAATAATTTTTTTTAGGAATTATTGATTGAAAAAGAAGTTGAGGTATCAAACTGTTTAGGGAAGGATCATGAATCACTAGCTGACTCAACAAAAATGGTCAAGCGTTCCTGTTTGGAAATATCATTTTCATTTTCTGTTCTTGTTCGTAAATCAGATCACAGTTTGGCAAAATAGTATGTACTACAAATTATGGAAGATTATCTGGAAATATGGGGGGAAAATCCACAGTTGCCTAAATAGTTTGCTGTACTTCTGAAATAATGTACTTAAGTATATTTGTAAAAGATTATACATATTTAATGACATTTATTTTGCAAAACCATCTGGAAAGATTGTGCATGGAAACATTTGATAAGGAATAATCTATCTTATTGGGGCCATAGGCTGTTGCTGTGTTCCGTGTCTCCCATCTTGGGACAGCAGCCAGTGAATTGCTGTCATAGTGAGATAGACAAGGCAGCCACCATCAGTCATCAACATAACAGCCCACTCTCTGTGTCTATGCAGACTGCCTCTGTTGAAAAGTAGACCATCTCCCCCCATACCTGCAATCACTGACCCTGTGCCAACTATGGTGGTTTCTTTATTGTGTATGCGGATATTGAATCTTTTCAATCTTTTTCTCTTTTTGCTTTGCAGATTTTCAGGATATATAATGTTAAAATCCGTTGATATTCCAGCAGCCTGTCCTGGTAATGTTTGCAGGGGGTACCGGAGCCAGTGCCAGGCACCGTAGGGCATGCGGGAGGGGCACACCCTGGAGAAGATGCTGGTGAATTGTGGGGCACATAAGCCCATACATACTCTATGGGCAATTTAGAGATGGAAGTTAACCCTAACTGCATGGCTTTGAGCTGTGGGAGGAAGCCCAATCGACACAGGCACAACAAGCACCTTACTTACACAGAAAGCTGATGCAGAATTCGAGCCCCAAAACCACAAGGTGAGAGCCATCATACTGCCCCATTACTACTATATATGTGATGCAACTCAAATTAAAGGAATAAAAAAGCTGCTAGTGGAGTTTGTTTGCCTTTTCAGTGGCTGTATCTAATCCCTGCATGTTCCTCTCTGGTGTCAGAGCGAGATCAGCCAGGGAAGGCGGCTTACCTTCTGAACAGAACAGCAAGCTTCTGCCTTTGCTGTGTCTCTCGCTTGAGAGTCAGTCTGCAGCATCTACAGTATGTGTAGGAAAATAGCACAGACTCTTTGCAATCTTTATTTTTCTAGTTCAAGTACAGCATGTTTTTGAGTTTTGAGTGCATTTAAATATGTCCCACTGAATAAACACAGGCTATGTTCACGTGTATTTACGTTCTTTCTGGCTCTGTAAGCAAAACCATTATAGCTGCATGGATGTGAATTGTGTATTTGACATGTTGACTTAAAGATAGTACTTCAAGATCCTTCAGTATTTTCCAGTTAAAATATATAATGGTTGAGCATTTTATTTCCCTAATCGGTTAATGGTGAGCAGTTGAGCTAAAAGTGCTTCCTAAAATACATTATTTGGTTTACAGAAAAGCCTTTTGGGGAGTGTGTGAAAGGTTTACCTATATACTATGAACTTCATCTCCTCTCATGATGTCCAGAATTACTAAATCTCAAATGCAAATTAAAATAAAGAAGAAGAAACTTGCCAGCTGCTTTCACAGAAAAGTAATTATGGGAACGAACTGCCGGTCATGGTGTAGATCCTAGGAACCATTTATTACCAAAAAGGAAAGTTCTATCACTTCCATCATTAAACTTCGGAACCTCCTATTTGTAGTTTTCCTAACTGCCACTGAACTGTACATTGAAGAAGTTGTTAAACAATATATCATTCGCACTACATAGTGGGACTTATGTAGGTATGGATTTGTATCCGCTAATACTAGTCATGTGCTCGTTTTAACAGTTTGACATTTTCCAACTGTTTTTGGAATGTGAATGCCCCTTTTGAAGTCCTTTGAAGGGCCACTTTGACATGTGTCCCGTAATGTTGATTAGGTTAATAATGGATTGTTGATTAATACAGCTCCTGGTCAGGTTTTACCACTTCACAAGGCACCTGGTACTTGACCCCTTCATTCTCAAAGAACCAGAGGTCACGATGGGGACAAATGAGGTCCCTCATTTGTATTCATGCATTTACCACACATGTATGAACCCATAAACCTTGAGAAACGTCTTCTCTTAAACCTGTGCACATTTGAAAGTTATTAACTCTTGAAATACTAGAAGCATGCATGGGGTTTTTAAAATCATGTAATAAAAATACTGATGCTGACCTCTTTTTCCTCAGTGCTGCTGATTTAATCCACGGTCAGTCAATAAAGCAACTATGTTCTTATAAAGCAGAGTCATATCACTGCTCAAAAGGTTTGGAAGAATACTCTCTAATGTCCGCAAATGATAGAGTTACCCCCAAATCATCATCTTTGCAGATGGGACTGATTCAGCATTTAAGAGTTAGCCTGGAATCATTTAGCTGCAGACGCCTGTAGCCGAATGAGATGATTGTATTTTGGCCTGTTAGCCAGAAACAAATCCTGCAACCAAATAAGGATCATCAAATTGTTCAGATATATTTCCATTCAGGCTGCATATGAATTCATTAGGATCTGGAGCAATGCTCATATGCCGGTGCAAATTAACTTGCATATCGGCACTGATGCTGCTGAGTGTGTCTGCCCTGAATCACATCTGTACATGGCATTTAGTCACTTGTAAACATAGTGTGTTCTAAGGCAGTGCATAATAGCAGGATATTGTATTTGAGCCATTTTCCCATGACAAGATCATATTGCCTCATACATCTGCTGCCCCTCAATAAAAATATTTAGTAGAATGTAATGCCTTCCTTTGCAGGCTATAAGATACATGATTTCAGATTTTATGGGCAAACTAAGCAATAAATACGCTTTCTTATTCCTGTACCCAATCTCGTTGAGGTTACTTGAAATATAGTTGGCTGTCATGTTAATGTTCAGCCTAAGTAGTTAATCGCTGTGGTTCCCAGTTGGGATGTATACATGTAAATGAGGTTTAAGATCATAAAGTATGTGTTCCAAGACTCCAGAGTTCTTCATTGTCAATTCATCCATGTATGAGTACACAGTGCATTGAAATACCTTTTCCCATGGGCCCTCTGTGGTGCCACACATAAAAACAAATACAAAAGAAGTAAACGCATAACATCAACAACACAACATAATACAATAAGATACAAATATAAAAAGTGTACTAGTGTTCCATCCTCAGTTGTAAATATTGCACTGGTGATAAGCTTATCCTTTGAACAGTTCTTATTTTCTTTTTTTAAATGTAAAGTAATTGAAATTGGAAAAATGGAGGAAAACCATATTTAGTTGCTGTAAATCGGCTCCTGGAACACGGACCAGAAACCTGGGTATTGTGGCCATGTGCACAATGTACCAACAAAGTGTTTTAGCATTTCTGTCGTTTGGTTCCTCTTATATTGGCCTGCTGTGAACCTTGTTGAGTATGTGCTGTGCTTTAACCTTGGTAAGGGGCAGGACTGAAGCAAACACATTTCTAGAAGAGACTGCAGTAGAGACGAGAATGACTATCCATCCATCCATTTTGTGAAACATCTTCACCTATTCAGGGTGGCGGGGGTTCTGGAGCCAAGGCAGGAAACAACCCAGGATGGCAGAGGAGAATGCAACCTCACAATGCTTGAACTTCACACCCTTCTGCTTTCATTCTGAAACATCCACTTTCTCTCTTTGTCTGTGGTTTGTTCACTGTTTCTAGGAAGGAGACAAAACAAGATCCACTTCTCATTCGGGAAGAAGAAAATGCTGCAGCCAAAGCCCGGGTTGATCCTGAGGCAGATGACCTGTTTGATGACTTCTAAGGACTGTTTGTACAAAGGAGATGTGGATTTTGTAACTGTACTTTCTTTGTCTATTGATTATCTGTGTAATCCAGGTTACAGAAGATTACTGTGAAAAAAAAACAATGAATAATGCTAAATTTTACGTGTTACTTAGCAAGTGTGTGTGTGTGTTTGTAAAACAATCATATGTTAATGAATTGTGCTCCAAATTGTGAAGATTAATGCTTATAACCATTCATCTTCCAGCTGCTTGTCTAGTACAGGGTTTTGGGATTAATTCTTAGTACAGAAGATACTTTCATCGTTTGTAATCGTATGTTGCATTTTGCCTCCGTTTAACCAATGTGAAATGAAGCATACAAGATGACATTGGGTGATTTAGCTGTTTGTTTAATATGTAGTAGGTATATATTTTTTTTTTTTTTTAAAGAAGAAAGAAACCACGCTGCAATCATACTTACAGTTGGTTGTGTAATAAATAATGACTTCATGCCAACTGACCAAACTTCAATGCCTCACAGAAGCCTTTGGTATTCAGAGAGTACTGCAAATACGACAGTACTCCGCATTCCAGGGTACAGGGTTTTAATGAAAATGTATTGCTCATTCTAGATGAGGTTGAAAAGGTAATTTCTTGATCTTAATATCATACTCCCTGTTCCGAGGTTAGGAACTGCTCCTGTTTCATACATCATAGATATACCAGAATTCATCAGGGAGCAGGCTGTTATTTTGTGTCTAAAAGTTGCCATTGGAGTTAATTTTGTCTTGGAATTATACAGGTATATTGTGGAATTGTGGAAATGTTAATGTGCCTATGTGGATTCAGTTCACAAATGTCTAGCATCAAATTTTCAAGCACCCAATACCAGCTCTTGACGTGACGAGGACTTATGTTAGCCTGCTTAACCAGGGAAAGGGCATTGCAAAGTTAAAGATGAAATTTCCTCTCAGATTGCTCTACAGCCGTTAGCGTGCCAGCACTAATAGCTTTTGTTTTTTAAGAAAATAACTACATGGCTGGATCGTTATTTACTGAAAACACATTGGCTAATACATGAGTAATAACTTAAAAATGATCATCTATAACGCAAAGACAGGCCAACATTTAGCACATATATCCCACTCTGACTGGAAATGTATATAGTAGATTTATAATACTGGAAGATTCCACATCTACTCAAGAGTTAAATCCTGACCATACTTCCACTTCAGTGAAATACAATTTAATGTGTCGTCTGTCAACTCCTGGTTCTCATCTGATAAATATGAACATAGGCCTACGTAAAATCCCTTTACCCGGACCGGTTATGTCCAAGTTTTGCTCGTCTGCCAAGAACAGCATGCACCTCACTACGTTTTGTTTTTTGTCTCATAAACTTCTGATTATAGCTGTTAAGTAATGCATCCCCTTTTGATTCATACAAATATATGCACAGATAGAATGTAATCTTAACGTCTTAAAAGAAACGTTAACGGAGGATGTATTACATTGCAGAGCTGATGATAACGAAGCCAAAAGAGCCCTAAATATGTGCTGGTGGCACCATTTCATCCTAAGGCTTATGAAAAACAATAATACAGGAGGGTGCATTATATGACAAGCCCAATTTTCTAGTTGCCGAGATTTGCATCACCCTTTTTTCAGCCATGATGCCCGAAGCATATCTGAAATTTACACTTAAGCCAAAACTGCCTAAAACACATGCTGGTAACACCATTTGATTCAACAGTGTGTGAAAACAAAGGGTTGTAATTAAGCTGACATCATTGTCAAAGTACACATTAATGAAAACGAAGGGGCGTCCATTTTACTGGGGAAAGAGTTAGACGATCATGACTATCGACTGTCGTGTGTTTGGCTGTAGTAACAACAGCAAGAAAAAATCCAAATCTACGTTTCTTTTGTATACCTTCAGTTTGTAAAAATCAAGGCAAAGAAACCGAAGAACTAACAGAAAGGTGACGGAGAGCTTGATTAGAAGCCATCAATCGAAAGAACTTGAACAACAATACTGCCAGCAGTGGTAGGTTGTGTGTCTTGATCATTTCCTTACAGGCAGGTTAGAGCCACACAAATGTACTTTTCTAAACGTACTATATTTCAAACTGCAGTTTATCTTTCAGGAATACTATGCTATGTCAGCCATAAATATGACGCCGATTACTGACTGCATCATAAGCAGTTATATGGTCTACAGTTATACATACATGCAGGGGCGGATTAAGGTGTACAGAGGCCCCTAGGCTACAGTAGTCTGTGGGCCCCCCCACCCCCCTCTGCGCCAATGGGGGCCCCCTTGCAGGCTGGCACACGTGGGGCCCCTAGCCTTAAGCCATATCTAGCCTGTGCGTTAATCCGCCCCTGCATACATGCATAGATACACACATACATACCAGTGTCTTCTGAAATAGGGGTATGAAAGTGTCATAATTGATGATGAAATGTTAACATCCTGTATTCCCTAGTGAATTTTTATGTGTAATGTCTTGAAGTAAAATTAATACAATTCTTACAGTACAGTTTATCAAACATATGACCTTTTAATTAACTATCAATACGTAATTAACCCAGTTTGATAGAGGTCTTGCTAATGCTGCAGGTATTTTTCACTTAGTATCCTCATGCTGAAAATTTGCTTTAAAGTGCATGTAAATGATCATGACAATTATTCACTTATTTATATATACATATAGTCTTTGCATGCATGAGAGAGAGAGCCTCAGTAGAAGTTAACAGAACCCAGTCGCCCCCTAGTTCCGACGCCCCTGGAAACGGGGCGGAACCATACCGCATGGGCATTTTGCACTAAAACATCTAGTTTGTTTTCATCATCTGATTGTATTAAAGACCTATAAATGACGGGCCAGTCTGCCGGGAAGTCCTCCGGTACTGCCGATGCTGCACAGTCCGTGAACGTGTAGGCCAGCGGTCAGGAACTGGCGGACTGGCGCGATCGCTCCCTCCCCCAGCGAACCCAGTGAGCTCCGGCTTTGTGTTGCTAATGGAATTTGGCCCTCGGGGAAAAATAGTGGCGGACCCCTGGTGTAGCTTTTCAGCTTTTTATGTCCAAGAGGCACGTGTTAAACGCTCTTTTTAAGTGTTTTTACAGTTAGCGGTGTTCGGATTATTTCATTGTAGCGTGAAGTTTAGAGACAAGGTCGCCAACTTTGGTCAGCTGGCTGGAGTGAGATGTTCAGTTCTAGACAAGTCTGCACGCGCATTTACATGTATGTAAGAGTTTTATTACCTTGTAAATAGTCTATTGGGTTTGCAAACTACTCCAGCGCTTTAAATGTAGCTAATTTTAGGGTTATAATGGAATAATATAGATTTTCCGTAAGATTTCTTGCGTGTCTGAAAGCCAGATGCGTTAGAGTTGGCAACCCTGTAGAGATATGAAGGTGTGTGTGTGTGTGTGTACTGTTTCCCCCTACAGTTAACACAGAGTAACTTTAAAACTTAATTATTAGTATCAGTAATAGAATGGGGTTCTTTGTGATACTGCGGACAACATTCAGTTCTCGAAACAGAAAAAAACAATTTACTTGAGAAACCCAATGCAATGTTTCCCATTTGTATAACTTCCAAGTCATGTAACTGTAAATCGAATGTTTTGCGAAGGAAAACGAGACTCTGGAACTGAAATCAAACCGTAATGAATAAGCAGATGTGGGCTACTACAGAGAAAATGGGAGTTTTGTGGCGTTTTAACAGTGGAGTAATCCGAAACACATAAATGCCAATAAAATAAATGGTACAGTACGGCGTGGATCACGCAGATATAGCTCGAGATTCTGATTCTGCTGATTTTCCGGTCTGTCACTTTATTCTGATCCAGATCCTGCCTTGCTGATTTATGCAGTCCATGCCTTTCTCTGCGTTACGGTCTCTCCCCCGTGTGGAAACGTGCGTAATGCCACATCCAGACCGCATTCACCTACTGTGTCTTTAGCAGTAATCAAGTATGTGTTTTGTTTATATTCAGTGCATGAGTACGCTTCTTGTGTGCAGCTCTTACTTAGGCCTATACAGGTTATATATGAAGTCCGGGATGACAGAAGTAGTGTGAGTTGTTTTATGCTACTGGAACAAGTTTTACCCCCCTAAAAAATTGAATTAATGTACTGCAAAATAATCTTGACCTAATATGCCTCCCATTGCATCGCCGGTGGATATAATCTTCATGTAGATTATAATTCAAATAGACTCGTCATCTTTAACAGAGCAGGACTATACATAATTACAAAATTATAGATATGCGACAGACATTTCTTTAGATCGACTGAGTAATTCAGTAGCATTGATTTGAGTCCCTTAAAGCTTGTAGAACATTATACTCAAATGATTTTCTTTAGTACTTTATACTAAATACATTATATTGTGTCTATGAGTTAGATCTGGCGTTTCGGTATTATCCTATGAAAAAAGTCATCAATCACACCTTTGGTGAGCGCACTGAGTAGGTTTATCGGGACACGGCTGCCGTGTTATAGGTTCGAGCCCCGCGTAACTCACACTTACAAGATGTATGATTGAGGCTAAATGGACCCTGTAAAGTGCCGATGGACCTTACGGCGATGCTGATTGGACGAGACGCTATTGAAATTTGGGACCACGCCCACGATGACGAAAGAAGGTTGTAAATAGATTTTGAACTTAGCCGACTGATCTTTGCTCTATTAGGCAGCATCCAAACAGGCTACTATCTGTCCACCTTCAGAAAGAAGAGCTGTGAACAGGAAAAGTGAAGGCTGACCCTTTTGTTCTGATCATAGGGAAGAGCTACTTTGGACTTAAACTCGCACACTGGAACATACTGGAATTAAGGACACATATATACTATTCATTCATTTTGGATTTACAAACCTATCTGAGGTATTGCCGTTGTTTTACTACATTTGGGTTTACTTCCATAATTAAATTGATTGGAATGACGTGTTTAAAATAGGTTGTATACATGTTAAGTAGTGTTCAGTAAAATTTACAATGTCGTTTAGTTGTAGCCTATTATGACAATTGAATGTTTCTAACGAAGTATGCAGAAACTTTTCATATTTCCAAAGTTAAGGCGAGTTTTTATGTTTGTTTTTTATTAATCGCAATCAATTTTTGATACAGGTCCTAGTCAATCTATTCCTCGATATCATTTATCTTCAAATACTGCCGCAAGGCAGAATAGAGAATCTTTTCATTGGACCGACAAAAGGATCTAGGATGGATAGAGCCTTTCACATGCTGACAGAAAACCTTACCTTTTATCCGTGCCTTGTCTCTCAGCCATCAGCACCTTTATTAACAAGCTTTTCAAATGTATTACCTATTGCCTATGGCGCCATAAAGTTTACTTAATATATACTACCTGTATATATAATGTTAAGATCGCACTTGTCGCAATTACATATTGCTACTAAGACAAGTTCATTCATTTATTGTTGATGTCAATAATAGAATTTGTAGCAATCACACAACTTCAACGCATGCAAAACAAGTCTGGGTTGGTGTACGTGGACCATTGTTACAAGAAAGATATACTTGATCTCATTTCAGGAACGCCCAAACACAGATGCTATATTCAATATTGTCATCTGTTGAATGTGCCTTAGCCAATAATAATACGGAATTATTTTATTATTATATGTTAAAATCGTCAAAGCCGCAAGCCAGCTCTTTTGTAAAGTGTGATTTCCCGTTACTTTTCATTCTGCTCGCTGTCTATCATGACCGGCAAGTTACAGGCGCTGGGAAACGTGCTACAGACTGGTGTGTCTTCTTGCTGTGCGTCCGGAGAAACTGAGGTTTCCAGAGAATGATCTGCCCTGATCTGGCCGTTTTGTCATCAATACTTTTGTGTTTTCGATCTGAAGGGCGCTATTTAGGATGTGTAGATGGCGGTAAAACACAGTCATGTTTAACTGCTGAAGCGCAATAAGCGTGTTTCACAGGCGCCGATTCATTGGCTTCCAGGTTTTCAGGGCATCTGGCCAACTCCGATACAGAGAAGTAGAATAAGGGCAATTTAGCCCTTTAGTGAAAGTGACTTTTATATGTCCACATAACAAGCTTCATTTAGACAGAAAATGGAAAATAACCTTTTTTTTCAACCAGCACGACATTAAGAATTGCGTCGAATTACACAGACTTGGACTAGTCATGGAGAATTTCGTTAAAAATAATGACATATAAACGTTGAAAAATGTCTTAATTATAAGACATAAATGCATGAATCTATGAACACGGATTCCAATCGATTGTTTTCAAATACGCGTAAACAATTAGATACAAAATATCATTGAAGGTGATTTATATTACTCGATCTTAAATTTAAGCGCTGTCTCACTTCATAGGTTCCTAACCAGATGTCAATATGCCACCTGGCAAATTAGATGAAATACAGCCTAATATGAGGACACTGTGACACTTACACGTAACCCTTTGTTACAGGTACGGGATATTCGCCCATTTGGTTTTGCCTGGTGAGAGCTGAGGTTATATATATATGTATAAAAGAAATCGATCTTGATTTCTTGGGAAGAGGATATCGTTTGAAGTCTGCAACTGAGCTGTTAAAAAAACAAATCTGCAAACACCACTTCCAAAGCTTCTTTTGCTGGGAACGATTGCAGGTTAGTCGAATGTCACAGTTTGCTTAGAAACCTTTCTGGGTTTGCTGTTTCTGTGAAGTCCAAAGGGTTTCCATGGCGCTCTCCTCCCAGTTACGTTTGTAGCAGTTAATGAAAAGAGCAGTCTTCCAGTTTCATGACTCACTTACGACGACGTCTAGAGAAATGGGAGGGACACTGACCCTGATCCTTTGCGTCCGTTTTAGGTCTCATAACATGACATCACGTAGGACACCCGCTATCGTCTTATATAAATGAATGAATCTTGAAAACATATGATGTATTACATGTGTTCGAAATAGCGCTAACAACAAAGTAATTTTTCATTTATCATTTATCTGAAATGTATTTAGATTCAATTCCATGTTGTCACACGAGGGGGGGGCGGGGGCTCATGGGTGCGGCCAAATAGCCAAATGTAACATCTTGACAGCTGATTAATAAAGTCAGTGCCCCACAGGTCACCCAGTGTGCAATTTAGAGATATCAGTTCAACTAATTTGCATGGATTTGGACTGGGAGGACAGGAATCCCTCCTGACCCCAGAGCTATACCACCCTAATGTGTTCACTTTCTCTGTTTCAGATTGAAGATGGTATTGGATATAAAGTATTCCCTGTGGATATTCTTATTATTTTGTACATTTGATGTGCTTGGTAAGATCCTACCTGATGCAACATTCTTATGATATATTTAATAACTACTTGAAAAAAAGAGCAACACTTTTCTAGAGGAGATACACACAATGTTGTTGTACTTAAGGCATTAATTTGCCAGCAACTAAATATAAGTACTGATCCCATGTTTGTCCATCATTAATCGATCATAGCAGTTCATGTATTCCATGCAGTTACTATATGTTACTATATATGTATGATTTGTACTTGAGTAGTAACTGAGTTACTAAGGTATTTGTACCCCCCCATGTAATGTATTACCCAAAAATGTTATTTTGTGTCCTCAGACCGGGTTAGCTATCATAAACAGCTACATTTACTCAGAAGACACCTATATTAATATTTGTAATGTCTTCATGAAATTGATTAAATGTTTAGCAATGTAGGATTGTATCTATAAATGTCATGGTTACATTTGAGGACTAAAGACCATTCAGTAGATTAACCCTTTACCAGACACTAACAGGACTCTTATGAATGGTAGTTTTATCAGATTCGATGTGTAGATTAATTACTTTATTTGACACCTAGCAGTAATATTTTTTTTTTCTGCATTTCAAGGGGCTATTAAAAGCATAATAAGCGTAGTCACTGGATTATGGAAAAATGGCAATTATCATCTGCCTATAATGTTCCAAAATCAAGTTACTGAAGCATCAAATTTCTATATTTCCATTTCAAAGACAGTCTGTCAAATCTGGAACTCATAGTACAATGCAAATCAAAAGGCAAATTGCAGCACAATACCAGGAAATGAGTCCCATATAATTTAGCCAGAGAATTTAGCAATTTGCCGCATTCCACAACCACTGCAACTGAGTTATGCAATGATGGGTTTGTTAATTTTAATCAAAGTAACTCCTCTGTGATTTAAAATGATTGAACTTGACAGTATATTGAACTGACTTTTTTGTGCCAGTGTCTTGAGGGGTATACTGGAAACATATACCTTTTCAGACATCCTGAACCCACAAGATAAAAATCTAGCTTTGCAGTTGTTGCATCTCAGTGCTGCTACTGCATTATTGTTAACATGCTGTTTAAAGCAGAGTGAATAGCGATATTAGCAACTGTCAGTTCACTGGACATCATAGGGCATGTTGTCTCTCCTGAGAGAATAAAATTGAAATTTACAATCGTGGATTTTTAAGCTGAAGTCTTTGCCTGCAGAGACGACGCGGCACTTAAGGGTGGAGAAGAGTGACCCGGTGAGCGGCTCTCTTGCGGGGAAGGTGGTCCTGCCCTGTCACTTTTCCACTCTGCCCACCCACCAGCCGGATGCCAGCACTGATGCTACTTTGATAAACACCACCCCCACTTCACCCCCGACCAGCCCCCCTGACCACCTGCGCATCAAGTGGACCAAGGTGGTTGGTGAAAGTGAGACTACGGTACTGGTGGCCCAGAATAGTGTCATCAAAGTGGGCCCAGTCTATAAGGGCCGGGTGTCGGTGCCCAGCCACCCAGAGGACATCGGGGACGCCTCCCTCACCCTCGCCAAGCTGCGAGCCAGCGACGCTGGCATCTACCGCTGCGAGGTCATGCACGGCATTGAGGACACGCAGGACATTGTCTCTCTGGATGTTAGCGGTGAGTTATTACTGTTTGTTTCTTTCTTAACAACATGAATCAATTGAAGTACGTTTTTGCTTTCAATTTTGTTCAGTCTATTTAAAGGCAGAAACGCCAGCCCTTCACAGGGATGCAGAAGCAGTCCATGATGTTCCGAGTCCTTGTTGCTAACGGCTATGCTACACGCCTCCTGCGTTTTCACTCTCTGTGTCTCTCCTCTGGAGCAATAAGGCATGGCTTAGTTCCTGTTGTGGCCATGTCGAGGTCTGAGGTCACAGTTTTGGACTGAATCGTTTTCCAGTCTTGGTTCTGTCAGGTTTTGTTCCCCTCTGTTACCAAGAACACAATAATAGCAGTTTGATGTCCCCGGCCATCATAAGCGATGGTTTGTAATTTGATTATGGGGCATTGTAGGACGCCAACCACTATGGTACTTTAAGGTACTCGAGACAGATGTTACCCCTGTTTGTGGACAGTGGGCTGGTTCCTGGCCCATAGCTGACACATGCATGCCAGGAGACACACCTGCCAGAGAACAGAATACTTTTTGGTACAAAGCACTGGAACAGTTGAGGTTCCATTTCTGGGAAAGAAGACTAGAAGATGAGCAAAGGAAAATATAAGTTCTTTATATCCTGTAAAACTATTACCTTCTTTGAATTGCAGCAGGAAAATCCAAGAGCAGCAAATGCCAAGATTCACCTTCGGTCCATTGAAGCTCTCTCAGCACTGGACAAGTGCTACAGATAATGCCAGTTAAAAGAGCAGATACACTGCACTTGCTGAACCAGTTTATAGTTTTGACATCAATTCCCTGCCGCAGATCAAATAAAATGGATATATTGGAGATTGTAATAGTGGATCAATGCCAAAGGTGGTTAGAAAATCTATGAATGAATCAGGGTTGGAGGAATATTGGTTTAAATATTCAGGCTTCAGTTTCAGACTTGAACAATGATTTGAGAAAATGAAAAATTACTGATTCACTAGTGGCCAAAATTGTGGAAACATTTCCAATTTTTAGAGATTGCAGAACTTAATTCAACTGTTGCCCCAGTTATTTAATTGTCCGATGTACGATATTTGTAACATTCTTTGATTGTTTGTAAACATTGCCGCCAATATCCGTACAGTAATTTTTAAAGCATAATGCCAAAAATGCTAGGTGTTTCCACAATTTTGGCCACTAGTGTAAAAATGTATCCAGCCACCTGTAGACAGGGCATGTGCAAACTGCACACACCCACAGAGCAGTGGCAGGATTCGAATGTTTAAACTGGCAGTGCAGGGCAACAGTGCTAAACGCAGAACCACATGTCACCCGTAAAAATACATATGGATTAATGGTCTGTCTTCCAAAGACATTACGTAGACTCTGTCATGAAGCAGATAAAATCAATTTTTCCAGCTGTTGTGGTACTGCAATTTATATTAAAAATGGCCGTGGAAGTAAACCTTAATACTGTAGATAGAGGGAGTGACTAATTGCTGGAGTATTCTCATAGGTAAGATGATAAATTTGCTTAGATTAGACGTATCCCCTTTCCTCTGGGCTTTTGTTAACGGAGTATAGCTTTAGTGTCCCGGATAGATGAATATGGACATAAGGGTCCTAGGGCAGTACCATGAAGAACAGAGTATTCTGTGGTTTCCACACTGAACGTCTCTACAAGAATATAAGTAGACAGTTATTTGTCTAAATAGATGACACTGGGTTTGTTCTTTGTAAGTTACCTTTAAAAACCTCCCAGATGTGCAATTTTGGCTCCACCCCTTGATATTTTGGCCACAGCGGGTTCTGGAAACAGGCATGTAGACTTTGTGTAACGTGCCAAAGGCTTGCAGCCATGGGGTGGACACTGGTCTGGAGTGACATGTGTACACCATTGCCTCCTTTGCCAAGCATAGCACTCCATTGTTAGGGTTGATTCATTCACAGAAAGTTAAGCAACACTTGTCCCCTGGGTTGTAAGTAATGTCTTATTATACCCTAGTAAATTACCGTGTTCTTTAAATTACATTGTTTTTTTCCGAGGCTTGTTAGTCACTAAAATGAATCATCATATTTTTTTTTTCTTCCCAAATGTTTTCAGCTAGCGAACACTATACTGAGGCTCTAAAGCAGAGTTTTGTAGATTATTATTGTAACAGCTTACATGCAAAGTAATTATGCTCAGAAGAATTTTGCGCAATGGCCTACTGTTTTTAAGTCACCTATTCATTGTGGCCATGCAGGTGTTGTTTTTCATTACCGGGTAAACTCCAGCCGATACGCTCTGGACTTCAACAAAGCCGTGCAGGTCTGCCAGGATATAGGGGCGTCCATCGCCACGCCGGATCAGCTGATTTCTGCTTACGAAGACGGCTTTGATCAATGCGATGCTGGCTGGTTGTCAGACCAGACAGTCAGGTGAGCATTTCTTGATCATTTTATTTACTTTTTTATTCTATTGCTTATATTTTTATCATATTAGTTGCCTGCAAAAATAATATGTTTTTGGTCGAGCTACTTGACATCCAGTGCTATGGTTTCTAGTCATAATAAAACTAATAAATTAACAAAGTGAAAGCAGACAAACTCTCCTGATCTTGGGCCATATTGAGGGTGTTTTAATAACCTTGAATGCTGTGCCCCTAAACTCTGCTAGATTTATTCCAAAACTGAAACACTCAATGATGCTGCCTAATACTGAGTGATATCGCCACTCTCAAAGCCCATTGAGTTCATGCAATGTTTCCTCCACACAGGTATCCAATCACCAAACCGAGGACAGGTTGCTATGGAGACAAATACGGGAAGCCTGGAGTTAGAACATATGGGATCCGAGACCGCACAGAGACCTATGATGTATATTGCTTTGTGGACAAACTGGAGGGTAAGCAAACTTGTCACCACTCCCAGTGTCACCTGGGACTAGCCTGCTTTTTGTGTGATTTTGCCTTTCAGGTAGAAGAACCATACTTTGCAATTCTTGTGGTGAGTCAAGATAGGAAGTTCTCATTAGAGCATGCAACATGACATCTCTGTCAATCAAGCTTGAATTAATGTTTTTTTTAATCGTATTTTGTATTTTCTAAAGTGCAAGGTAGTTTCAGTAATGGTAAAACAAATAATTGTTCCTTAATTTTCAAATAAAAGTTTGGCAGTGACACAGGCATTGTCATTAGAGTGTTGAGGCATTTAAATTTGACAACAACCTTTATATTTGTGGGCTATATATTTTTGTGCTTTAATGTAGGTTTTTTATGACTGCAGCATTCCCTTTTATTGGCACACTGAGTGCCGTGTGATATTTTGCCTTTAAAACTTTATTTCAGTAGCTCAGCGGGGTTAGCCATGATCCAGACCGAAATTTTGGCCAACACTGGAAAAAAAAGACAGTTTACAAGATTCATGTCCCCGTGAAATATTATAAAGAACATATGTACTTGCATTAAACCTAGATTATCTAACAATCAAGGTTTTTGGGTTTGGTGGAGTTACAGCATAAATTAACATTTTTGTCTTCTCAGAAAGTAACATTACTTGGCTTTTTCAAGCGAAAAAACACAGAATTGCATTTGGCAGGATTCCTATACTATGCTTTTTGCTTTCACACCAACCGAACGCATGTAGATTTCCATTTAGATTAAACCCAAACAGAGATAGCAGAGAGATAATTAAGCAAACAACTGTTTTAGCAAGTGGGAGATGCAGAGGAGCTGCAGTCTGTGCCTTTAATGGGTGCTGGGAATCTGCTATGGGTAAATATCCCGCTAAATATGGACTTTCCATGGTTTCAGTTATAGTTTAAAAATACAGATACCCTTTGAAAACTTCTGCGTTCATTATGTCTTGTGTCTATTTTAAAATAAATTTGACAGGATAAGCATAAGTGTGTTGGACCGAAGTTGAATTGAACAATAGAGCATGGGGCTATTTTTTAGGCCCCAAAATGTAAATGAAAACAATCGCCAATTGGGGGCGGAGGGGCTGGTAAATGCTGCAGCACCGACACGCCACACAGGATTCTGGGCTTTGGTACCTTGCTGGGCGCCTGTGACATCAGACACTGACCTAATTTCAGAAACACTCCTACTATTTAACACTAGTTCATGACCTCAGTTTGAATTCCTATCCAGAGATTCACTGGGTGGGGAACTGTCATGATGAGAAAGTTTTGGGATTCAGAAAACATATGAAAAGGCGCATCTTACAATCCATAATGCATGGGATATATATATATATATATCGCACGAAGGCAACAACCCATTAAAAACGAAAGACTTGTTCATCTTTATCCAGTGGTATTCCAGAACAGCAGTCCAATATGTCATTTTTATTGCTACAATAATATGTTCAAAAAAGCCAAATAATAAAAATGGGTTTTTAACCCGGCTTTAAACGTGGACGGTGTTGGTGCTTGCCGCTTGTGCAGCACGATCTAAATTTTGCGATTCAGGGTACAGCCTCCTGGGGGCTGAACTACGTCTGAGTCCATTCCCAGTCTGAGTCACTCAGTCTATGTTGATTTATGCATGGACTGTGTCCATAGGGGAAGTGTTCTTCATGCCTGGCAATGACAAGCTGACCCTGGAGGAGGCCTGGGCAGCCTGCGAGCGTCTTGAGGCCACTTTGGCACAGCCAGGGCACCTTCATGCCGCCTGGAGGCAGGGCATGGACCGCTGTGACTACGGCTGGCTGGCGGATGGCAGTGCCCGCTACCCCATCTCCATACCCCGTACTCAGTGCGGCGGGGGCCTGTTGGGGGTGCGGACCCTGTACCGCTTCAGAAATCAGACAGGCTTTCCCCACCCCACGATCAAGCTGGGAGCCTACTGCTTCAAAGGTAAGTCAGCCTGTCATCTTCCTGTCTCCCATTATGGCAAGTCTGTGCCATCCTGGAACAAACACTGTAATTATTTACAATAGTTAGCCATTTACATTACATTTACTTAGCAGAGACTTTTCTTTGAAGAAACCTACAAGTGCAGATCAGGCAGGGCAGTTAGACAGTGTCCCCAGAGCAACTGGAGTGAAGGGCCTTTCTCAGGGGCTCAAATGTGAAATCACACTGCTAACCATGGGATTCGAACCAGCAACCTTCCGATTACAGGCACAAAGTCTGAGCACACTGAGGCACACACCTCTTTTATTAGAAATAAAATTCTGATTCTTTCATTCTTTCATTCTAGGTATATAACGGTGATCAGAGTATGATGTATGTAAAATTATATAATAATGAGTTTTTTCCTATTACATATTCATGGAGTACAGCCTAAATTCATTAAATTGTTGGCTAAGGTGACAAGAATTTCTTATAAAAAATAATTCTTAACTGCAGTACTTTCACAAAACTTGTAATGGTTTACATTCTTGTTATGGTTTATGCTGTTTTCATGGTTGTGCCAACTGGAGATTTTTAACAACACACACCCACACACACACACAGTCGTGTAATCATATCTTTTTGGGGACCGCTCATTCATTTCTATGGGAAAAATGCTAACGCTAACTATGACACCCAGCCCTAACCATAACCATAAGTAACCATAAGTAAGAGTTTTTGCATTTTTAGTTTTTTCATTGCAGTCACGGATTTTTATAAAATGGAGTTTTCCCATATTTTTTTTAGTTTTCCTAGTTTCCTGGTCCACATAAGGTAAAAAAAACGGGTATTCATCACGTTGTGGGGACATTTGGTCCCCACAAAGTAAGGTATACCTGGACCACACACACACACACACACACACACACACACACACACACACACACACACACACACAGCTGAAGCATTAGACAGGTTTTGCGTCTGCCTGATTCTTTTAGTCATGACTGCATGAATGTTATTTATAGTTTTTGTATGGATTTCTTTCACCTGAAATATTATTAAATCAATATAATTTAAATATCTAGTGATATTTTAAATTATGAATTGAAATTGAAATGCACATCTGCATACAGCTGAATATTGTGTATGAAGAAGGCATCCTCTCATTTACACATTATAGGGAAACAAACAAGTATAAGGACTGATGTTGTAGTTCAGGCAGACAGGGCTGGAACTGAGGTTGGCTTGATGGTGCAGGAGAACATGTGAAGACAAGACCCAGCATGAGGGTGTCAGCAACATTATGGCCCTCGGTGCTTCTCACCTAGTGAATGATGGTGCACCCTTTCACTTTCTTTCCTGGTAATGGTCCCTCTGCAGCTTCATGTGAAGGTGCTGTGCTCATTATTTCTTCCTCTTAAGCAAATACCCGGACCTTTCTTCTCATCTGTCTTCTAATTTATTTTCTCCAGATCCTGGATAGCATTATTTCTGTCTTGAGCCATTATCGGTCTTGTATAATATAAGCTTATTATGGCGTCCCCGTGCTTTTTTTTTCCTGTCCTCATTGTAGTTTTTGGGTTTTGTCCAGTTTCTGTCCAGTCAGCAGTGGGCTTGATGAACCGTGAAGATAAAACATCTTGCAAACTCCTGTGCTGTGAAGGCCTCTTTAAATCTGTCTGTAAATTCGTCATATAGACTGAAATGACTATGTGTGGGGCTGATGCCAGCAGCCACGGGGACCCTTGGTTGCAACTTTCGCTTTAGTTCAGCAGGGCGAAAAAGTTAAGAATGATTTGCATTTCATTGTCAGGGTCAGATTTCAGTGCTGAGGAGGGAAGAGATCTGTCTTCGAGTAAATAGACAGGGGTCACATTGCGCTGCCATTCGACAGGATCATGTCCGTCCCCCTTCTGAGCCATTATCCAGCACTTGAGATTCAGAGTTCGTGGCTTGTCTCATACGGGAGTGTCTGTGAGATGAGAAGCGAGGTCCCATGTCTCAGGAACTGGTTGTTCATTACGTCAACATTCTTAGGTCTTGGACCAGCTCCGGCTTCCACACTCGCCAGTTTCGTTCCGTATAAGTATTTCCTGCATCCAAGAGTGAGCATTTTATGAACTTTCTGAGTCTCAGGACAAACGTCAGCGATGCTGTCAGAGGTGCCCATGTTGCAAGAATGAAAATTAGGAAGAATAAAAATCAAGCACAGAGAAAAGAAACCTTTTGCATAAACATTAATAAAAACAGCTAATACATACGTTATGGATCACTGGGTTTTATTTGGGAAAATAAAGGTTTTACATCAGTGATAGCTGCCGAAATGGGAGCCACGTCTTTAATGTGTAACAGCTGGCTACCTTAACAGGCATCCAGCTGTGTCATAGTAAGGGGCAGGGGAGTTTCCATAGCAACCGAATGGTCATGCTTGCATAACGGCGGAGGGGAGAGCAGGGCCAGGATCAGGGGCCGCATGAAAGCATATCTCAGGCCCCTCAACCCAGGCCAATCTAATTATGTTTGGACACTTTTAGGGTCCCTGTCAGTCCCCCCCCCGACATTGTAGCACCCTGGACGCGATGCCATCATCCTCTACTCCAGAACATTCTTTTTCTTAAACCCGGCCGCGCACTGTGCTCACGTCGGCAAACGTCATGCCGTTTCTCCAACCACATAACATCTGCGTAGCTTAACTGTCCTCTTTCTACAGACACTTTGCAGTCTTTGAAGATTTATTTCAGTTAGGAAGCTGCGGACGACAGATAAAGACGTAATTACATTTTCATTCTGATCAAGTAACTGAATCTGACACATTACTTTCTTAGCTTTGCCAAATGGTCTGTAAACAGCGTAACTGTTAAGCACGACTGTTTCAGACAATAAGACTGCGGTTATAATCCAGAGGCTTCAAAAAGACACCTGTGTGGGAAATAAATGATGAAAATACATTATTAATTGTTATGGACTATGACACAAGAGCAAAACTGCTTCCTTGGATCACTGATTATGCTGCTTTAATCAATTAGTCTTTAATTCAATGTTTATTGTTTATTTTCACAAGTAATTAAATTAGACCCTAAATGAATCATGATATTTAGATACTGCATCTGTGTCACCCTGTTTTTCCTAGAAAGTGAACCATAGAATAATTATGACTTGGAATAGTTCACCCAAAGTCATTTGTTTCAAATCTGTCAATAAAAACAGTAAAAATTCAGTGCAAATGATTTACAGTTCAGAAAAAAACAAAATAATGACTTTTAATATATGGAGAACTACTGCCAGGAGGGGAAAGTCCCCAAACTATTTTGCACTATAAACAGAATTACCATAGTTGCCACAGTTTAGAAGGCATGAACACTATTCATATGTAAAATATATTCATATTATCAAAGGAAAAAATGCAATGATGTAACATGAAATCATACCCCACAGGAAAAGTTAATATTGAATGGAGTTACATTAAATGGTACTGAAGTTAATATGCATGCATATCGAAATTCAAACCTGAGAAACTTAGGCTCAGTTGGCTTTTTTGGTTTAGCCAGATGTTTCTGTTTCTATGCCAGTGAAATAATGACGGGAAAAAGAGGCTTAAAATAGAAGGTAGGAGCCAGGCATGAGACTGATGAAACATTACAATGTCTAAAAAAGAGAAGCTTTTGGCAAAAACTGTGCTTTCTTTGCAAATAGCGCCGCATTTCTCTGACCATTTTGACATCACTGACAATATGAATTCCCAGATCAAGCCAGTCCGAGCTTGACGCCAAAGCAAACCCTTTCAAGGTGATCCGCTGTGGATCTGAACATTCCTGTATTTTTTGAAACCTCAGTGTTCACTTCCTTCATCCCAGGCCTTGTGTTTTATATGGTATGGAGAGACATTAAACAAATAATGTTAGCCTTTTTTGGAGGGAAAAACAGACATGCTTATCCTCTACTCAGGCTTAATTTGACATTTATTTCCAGTGCTTTCATTTTGCTATGTGAACTTGACAACTGGCAAACTGTTGCACATGTGTGTTTCTGTTTATGTGTGGCTGTATTATTATCCCATTTAGCTAGTATAACCAGTAGGTATTTGTGTTCTCTTGCTTAGGTAGAGAGCTAACCACCTCACTGGACACAATCACTGGTCCCACACCAACTGTAAGCGCGTCAGAGGAAAACGAAGCGTCTGAAGTTCTGCTTGAGGGTGCAGTCCACGTTATACCAAGTAAAACGGAGATGGAGATCCCTGAGTCTCCCAGACTGCCGCACGCCTCTCCAACATCATCCCCCCCTGAGTTTGTGTCTGTCTCAAGTCGGGAACCTGCAAGCAAAAAGCCTGTCAGTGAGGAGCTTACAGAAGAGCATTCAGCCATGTTCTCCACCAGCATGGCTCCTGCTGGCCAAACTTTTCCCCCATCTCCGTCGTCCCTGACCACTTCTCTATTTGACGCTGACACTGAGCCGTCAGAAGCTCCTAAGAGCGACATCAGTCAAGTAGAATCAGTGCCATGGGCTGATCCTGTCACAATGGAGAACTTACCGGAGCTGCCTACTCCCAAAAGTGCCACCCCCTACCTTGACTTACCTACCAAGGATGAAACGGAGCTGGGTAGCGCAGTGGAAGAGACAACTCAACTCCATGACCAGGGTCTTGTTGAGGGATCAACCCCAGTTCAACAGAGTGAGCCTGAGGTGCTGCCTGTGACTGACGGAATCAGCTCACAGCCACATTCGACACCAGGCGTGAGTGAGCCTGAGGTGCTGCCTGTGACTGACGGAATCAGCTCACAGCCACATTCGACACCAGGCGTGCCCACTGTGCTGCTTACATCCACAGAAGTGGAGGACTTAGATCAAAAAACAGCGGCACAGGAAGAAGGAAGTGCTTCTAGTGGACTTACTTGGTTAAGTCAACCCACTACTGCATCCTTTTTATCAAAAGAACCTTCTCCTAAAGACCAAGATTTGGGAAAGCCTGCTGTTGTGTACAAGGAAGAGGGCTCCACAGACTTTGATGGCTTGATCAGTCTTTCTAAAGCAACCGCTACAATCCCGTTGATGGAGACAGAGAGAACAGCTGATATCAGCAAAACTGAAGAGATGGAAGATACCACCATGGACACGAGAATCATTGGGGAGTCAGTTACAGGCCCGTGGAATGCCGGGGACATCGCTGACACTGACAAAGATACCAACACAGCACATGTCCGTGTCATCATTGTCAACATTCATGATAAAAACCACTCAGGTGAGTATATTTTACTATCCTCTTACACCAATTCACATTACAATGGCCATTTATAAAATACTAAAATAAAATATAAAATACTGCTATGAAAAACAATTTTAACAGACCCTGAAAATTGGATACATTTCCTATAGAATATTCAACAAGAAATATATGCATAAATCAATATTACTTTCTTATTTTACAGTCACTTAGTTTGTAAATAGAAATGACATGACAAATATGTGTTCACACTATAGTGTATAGTTTTTGCTGACGGCTTTCTATAATTACATGTGTGAGTTGGTAATTAGGCAGCTTGTTTTTTAGGAACAGTAAATGTGGCTTGATCTGATTAAATAAAGTCAGCTTTTCAGATTAATAACAATTTATACTGCACAATATCAAAGTATATAATTACGCAATTCCATAACTGTCATAATTCATTTTCTGTTTGGTTGGTTTTTGACAGAGCAGTGTTTCCCAATCCGGTCCTAGGAGACCCACAGTCGGACCATGTTTTCGCTCGCTCTGAGCTCTATGCCAGACAGCCCTACGGGAGCTGGGAGGGAGCAAAAATGTGGGCCATCTGTGGATTGGGAAACCCTGTGATTGAGAATGAGTTCTGGAACTCTGCTCTTTATATACTTTTGCTGTCACTGAATGTCACGCATTCGAGCTGCAGAAGCTGTCCATGGTGCTGAAGCCCATCACTTACAGATATACACGTGCATTAGTAACAATTCCCAGTGCAGTGATTGTTACAGGAATAAGGCCTGGAGCATAACCTTGCAGTGTAATATATGAAAAACAAATATTAGTGGTGCAATTCATATAATTACAGGGCAATTCATTTCCCTAATTAGCCAACTTAAATAAAATCTGCCTGGATTCTCTCTGTGCACAGGAAAAATGCACAAACAGATCTATCTATCAGGGCTCAAAAGAAAATTGTGTTTTGAGTTTTACAGTATCTAAGGTATTTATCTTTGCTCAGAAAATACACGATTTAATATTACAATGCATAAAAATAAGCAGTAAGAGACTAAAAACTAAAACGACTTTTTCCATAAAGGTATGGATGTCTGGTGCGATGGCTAGAAGAACGCAGCTTAGGTTCCCAAAAGTCTAAGTCCACCACTGCAACTCCAGTTTAGGTTCCCAGATGCCTGCTAGGTCCACCACTGCCACTCCAGTTTAGGTTCCCAGACGCCTGCTAGGTCCACCACTGCCACTCCAATTAACTTTGCCAATTTTTACTAGCATCTCACTTAATCCATTGATTAGTTAATTAACGCTCTAAGATATTGATTAGCACTGGATGCTTGCCTACGTTAATCTCATGAATGCAAAAATGTGGATGTCGTCCGTGTTAAGGTGCCTCAGTCAAGGTTTCAAACTCTGAATGAAACCTTTCAGCAAATGTTGGGCAGCAGTGCTTGAAGACTTCTTGCAATTGTGTTTATATAGCTTATTGTTAATATTCCATGAATATTATTTAATGATGAATAATTGATGCAATTTATATGCGTGACTTTATCTTAGCAAGCTGTGTTACAAAGTGATACTAGTTTAAGCTGATGTTTAGATGACTTTTATTATTACAGGGGAAGCAGATATTAGCTATATCCTTTGTCTTTCCTGGATCTTGAAAAGACTTTTGTTGAAATGGTTATGTGAGAGTTTGAAATTGAAATACGTGATCACATTGTCTCTGAGGAATGATCAATACGGTCTTGGGACACTGTAGGTCATAAATTAGGTTACAACTGGGTTTTGTGGTGGGGGAGTGGTCTCTCCAGAACCTTCACTGACAGGTTTCCAGTTGTCACTTGCTTTCCCAGCAGTTTTTAGTGGCCCGTATGACTCCAGCTGGTATTCTGTTTTTCGGGAGCTCCTTAGCCATGCAGGTGTTCGGAGAGGGAGTGGCTAGTTATTATTATTTTTTTAATTCTGAGTAGCAGCTTGTGGGAAAATCTGCCACGCGGTGATTGTTTGAGACGAACAGTTTGATACCGGAATGAAAATGAAAATAAACATCTGTTTATGGAAGATCCGGATAGTCCTGCATGTAAGGGAGAATTTGCAACCATTTGCAACCATTTATGGATGTTTGGACTGAATGTTATTCCCAGGGGTTGGGCTTGCAGGATCTTTCACATCACAATTACATTCTGTTTGTCCAGGAAATGAATTAGTGGCTGTTTGTCAATGCTTAACCTTAAGTGACTCAGTGTCTGTAGATCTATTAAACCTTGTTAGCTGACAAGGAATTACTGTTTAATTAGCAAAAAGATATTTGCCATAAACTTCAATATACTGTACAGTATAAGACACATTTTTGTAGATAGCGTGGTGGAAAAATGATAAATTCTGTCGTATAATGACCAGTGAAGCCACTTAGAATAAAGCCCTGGACCTCTCAGTTAACGTTGGTGAGCAAAGTTATCTCCTTTATTCGAGCAATCCAGCAAAGCGCTTCTGTCACACTCTGCCACCAGCTTCCCCAAGCACCCGGAGCACTCAGTTGATAAACCACAATTCTTAGTTCCAGATAAATCCTCCTGATTGGCCACAAAACACTAACAAACCAAGCTCAAACGTATATTGATTCACCTTGACAGTAAGGTATAATCCACCCATTTTGCTCAATTTACCAGATCATGTCTCAACTGCTATGCTCCTACTTGAGATATGTATATGGATATTGATTATATGACATTGAATTACTGTGAATATTTGGTTGTCCTTTGATTAATGACGTATTGTCATTGAATCACTTCAAATACATGGTTAACATGTGATTAACATGATCAATGTAACAATTACTTATACATTTGTACTACTGCATAACATACTGTGCATGGCCTACTGCGACTACAACTACAACTTTTTGTGCACCAGTTGGGGCAGCTTCGAATCCCTTCCTGCAGGCGGTCCCCCCCCCCCCTTCTCCGCTGCCTGTCTCTCCAAGGTCTGATCTCTCTTCAGCGTCTGCAGAACCAACCGCAGGCAGCTATCACGAAGCGAGGACACATAGTATTCAAAACAATCTCTTCTTGCCTAAGACCTAAGACATAACAGACCTACTATGCCTCTCTCCCAGGCCTACCAATGTCCAATTTCCTTTCCACAATAGTGAATACCAGTACTCTATTGTCTTTAAACTTGGATTAAGAGCTCACATTAATTCTAAAGTTAATATTGAATTCTCAAACTAGGTAAAATAATAATAATAATAATAATAATAATAAAGATATGGTTCATCTTTCCTTGTTGAAATGCATTGCCCATAAACCAAAAAAAACACAGAAAACACAATCACATCCATTTGACATATTTCCTTTCCCTGGCTGTCTGGCTCACTAAAGGACGATATGATAGCTACATAGAAAGAACTCTTAACTAACTTTTAACTAATTTCTGCAATGCTTTCGGTTAAGATTAAAAACAAGCCGAATGAGGTTGTTGTCATTTTGTGGAGCTGCTCGCACAGCTTAAGTCAGACTTTGCTGCTTCCAAACTCATGTGAGCTTAAATGTTTTTTTTGCTGATTTTATGTCCTTTTTAATTTTACAGTTGACACAGTTCTGGGACTCCTGCAGCAAGCTGGTAACGCAACTTCTCTGGAATCTTCTCTCATCAGTTCAGTTTCTCACACTCTCACAAGGTTGGACGATCCGATCATTGGTTCTGGAGAGCTGGATTTGATTCCCGCTTCCACTGTCACACTCGCACCGACTGTGAGTTTTATTAATGGGAAGCAAGAACTCACTCATGAATCGTTTTCTGAAGAGCAGGAAGCACGAGGAGACCAATTTGAGACTGCTTCTCCAGGAATGGTGGACTTCACCCAACTGGGAGAGGATGGAGACTATGAAAAATATACCCTGGAAACTGGATCTTTCACACCAGAAGGCCCAACAATAGAAATTACACAAAGCATTATGGGCACTGATGCCACCCTGATTACAGAGGAAGCTGTTGTGGCCACATCACTGAGTGAGAGTTTCCCAACAAAGGAAACGCCACTCTTACCCACTTCGAAGGAAGTGATTCTAGAGCTTATGCCCTCTTCTGAGGCATCAGTGTCGCCCAGCACTACAGCATCTGAAGACACAGAAGGATCAGCAACGCATCCAACTGATTATGGAGCAGAAACCAAACGGGTAGATGGATCTGGAGAGGCGGCTGTGGTGTCTACCACAGCTTCTGATGTCTCAGTGACAGTTACAACTGATGAGGCAGAAGTCAGAGAAACAGATAAGACCTTCACAGACGTTTCAGTGGGAGTGTTTTCTACTGTATCCCCGTTCCAAACTAGTCCTGTTGTTATAGATGGTCCTGGAACCCCAACTCAGCAAGAAACGACTGAAGACACTGAATATTCTGCTTCTGCTGACAGCGAGGGCTCAGCACAAGATGTCTACCCTCCTGGTCTAACATCAGTGCAGCCAAAACAGACCACTTCCCCCTGGTTCACAGTTTCTGAGACTGAGACCTCAACGACCCCCCTTGTCACCGCGAGTAAAGGCTTAGAGGAAAATATACAGTTTACAGTTCAGGTATTGTCAGTACATACTGACAGCATAATGTCACAAGAAACAACTATGGCGAGCGGACACATACCGCAGGTGGAAATAAGTACAGTATTACCTCGTGAGTCAAGTACTGAACTTGGCAGTGGCGTTGTTACACAGGAAAGTGAGGCATCGACGTATGATGGAGAAAATGCAATCCAAGATTCTTCAGGAGAAGTGCCAGCCGTAACAGTCTTAATAAAGGATATTTCAGAGTCAAGAACAGTTTCTCCTTTACTGGCAGAGACAGAAGGCAGCGCAGAGGGTTATAGTCCAGAAATACAGAGCACCCCTCAGTCACCCAAGACAGCAGATTCACTGGTGAGGGAAACATCCAGCCAGACCTCTGCCATTTCATCTACTGGAACTCCAACTGTTCATTCCCAAGATAACGACACACAGCAGCTTCTGATGCCAACACCAACAGGTAGCGGTCTTGCCATTTTATCAGTCACAGAGCTTGAGGAGAAGACAACCAATCTGACCGATGAAATGAAAGTTGCGGATGAGCTTTTATCACCTACTTCACAGAGCCTGGTAGAGGCCTCAGTGCCTATAATCGATGTGGATACAGAGGCACCCCTTGAATCTTCTTCACATTTTGTTCCCACCATTCAAACAGAAGAGGCTGCAGGTGAGACACCACTAACAGTACAGTCCCCACTTTTGACGACCCTAGTACCAGAGGGATCTGGTGAAGAAGTAAATGCATCAGCAGCTCTTTATCCAGTGGTGCCTGAGTTGCCCACACCTGTCATATTCACAGTCCCATTGTCCCCTGCAAGTGAATTTTCTGGAGATTTTATCTCTGGCGATGGGCCATCAATGGATGCTTCCACTTCTGTTACTGAATCCATTGAGGTATCAACTGGAATGGACAATCAATCAGACACTGCAGGTATTCCAAAGCCTGAGAAAACCACGTCTAAAGAGTCCTTCCTGCAGGCCTCTACAGAGATTGCTTCAATTTGGCAGGACACAGTGCACCGGGAAATCGCAGCAACGACTATCCAGCCTGAAACGTTGCCGCCTTCTCTTCCAAACAGTACAACAAGTGTGACCCAGGGGGATGTAGACAGCCAAGAGAGCGTGACAGGGGATGAGAAGGGTGTGGGTGACAAAAGCAAGGATGAAACACCTACTGTGGGGACAATAGACACAGAAGTGACTGACTCAAGTACTGAAATGGCTTCCACTGTCATTCCTGATGAAGCCGTTGACTACAATGCTATTTCTGGACCTGAAACTGTTGAAGCAGAACCACCTCACTCTGGGACAGAAGCAACAGACCAACTTGAGACAAGTTACACAGTTGAGGGCCAGACTGTTGAAATTCCAGGTATCCTATTATATAACGTCATGGAACATGTGTACCCAATATCTTTTGTCACAAAGTTCTCACATAGCAATTGTGTCTTCTTCATGCTTGCTTTGAATAGCTAAGTGTTTAGTAATGGCTGTCTGTCT